TTCAATAAGAAGACGCTTTCCATCCACTTTCTCTCCTAAAAACCTCGGGCCCGCACTGAGTGACATTTTCAAACCTTTCCTCCTAAAAACCTCGGTCCCGCACCGAGTGACATTTTCAAACCATTTCTAAAATCAATTCTTTGTATTGAATTAAAAAGAGAGGATTGGGTGTAGACCTCTTCTTCTTCGAGTGTTGGGATGCCCACTGTAGTGAGGGTGGTTTCGACACTCGTCTTTCAATACGAAGACGCTTTCATCCTTTTTCCTCCTAAAACCTCGGTTCCGCACCGAGTCCATTTTCAAACCCTCCTTAAAATCAATTATTTGTATTGAATTAAAAAGAGAGGATTGGGTGTAGACCTCTTCTTCTTCGAGTGTTGGGATGCCCACTGTAGTGAGGGTGGTTTCGATCCTCGTCTTTCAATACAAAGATGCTTCCAACTTTTTCTCCTAAAACCTCGGTCTCGTACCGAGTACACTTTCAATAATAAATCAATTCTTTGTATTGAATTAAAGAGAGAGGATTGGGTGTAGACCTCTTCTTCTTCGAGTGTTGGGATGCCCACTGTAGTGAGGGTGGTCTCGATACTCGTCTTTCAATACGAAGACGCGACTTCTTCCATCACCTCTCCTTTCACAACTTCATTCCGTAAGCCTTTTCACCTAAAACCTCGGTCCCGTACCGAGTGCACTTTCAAACTTCTTTTCGCAACAAAACTTGAATGGTCGTGGAGTGGTTAGGCGTAGGCCTTCTCCTATCCCGAGTGCTGACGTTCACCGTAGGGTTCTCTGTCGCAAAGCACTTACCATTCGAAACCAAAAACATTTTAATAAGAGAACGAAGTTCTCTTTGCATTGAATTAAAGAGAGAGGATTGGGTGTAGACCTCTTCTTCTCCGAGCGTTGGGATGCCCACTATAGTGAGGGTGGTTTCGACGCTCGTCTTTCAATATGAAGACGCCTCGTTCGCCACACCTTTTCATAACAAAAACTTTGAGATAATAAATTGGGTACTACCCGTAGGGGTTACTATCCGAGGACATGTCTCGCCCCTAAAAGACAATTCAACCAATCAAACGTGACACCTTGCCTCGCATGGCGAATACCAATCTTTCAAACAGGATATGTTACGTCCGTTCTACCGCAAACAGGTAACGCCTAAGTCCCCAACGAGCGAGCCGCAAAACACCTAAACTGCTAGAATGCGCACGATAACATCATCCACAACACACCGGTTATCCGCACCGTAGGCCGAACTACGGCTGCTCTGATTTCTCATACCAGATGAGAATACGTAGGCACAAGACGGCGATGTCTTGGCGAGCACAATCCCCCCTATCACCCGTAGTTTCCCAAACTACGTCAACTCTGACTTTCTCATATTTGTTGAGAATACGTAGGCCTAGGACCGCGAAGTCCTATCGAGTCCTTTCTTTCCTTCGTCACCCCTTGTTCCCCGTTTCTAACCTTTTCCTTTACCCCTTTGAAACACTCTTTTTATAACATAATCTTTAAGCAAATAAAATCACACATCGACAAACAAAAGGTTCCCATCGAGTACGATGGATGCGAGGGGTGCTAATACCTTCCCTTCGCATAACCGGCTTCCGAACCCGTTCTTGGTTGCGAGATCATCTTATCTGTTCGTTTCTTGGGGTTTTCTCGATGTTTTCCCTTCTCCTCATAGGATAAATAAAGTGCGATGACGACTCTTCTGTCTTTTCTTTTCGCCTCCCCGTCGTTGCACGATGCGTATTTTTCGAATAGCGACAATGAAAAGTCGACTTTTTTCAGAAATATGAAAAAGTCGAGTTTTTCGGAAATATGAAAATTTTGAGTTTTTTTTGAAAATATGAAAAAGTCGAGTTTTTTCGGAAATATAAAAAAGTCGAGTTTTTTGGAAATATGAAAAAGTTGAGATTTTTCGGAAATATGAAAAAGTCGAGTTTTTTCATAAATATGAAAAAGTCGAGTTTTTCTAGAAATATGAAAAAGTCGAGTTTTTTCAGAAATATGAAAAAGTCGAGTTTTTTTGGAAATATGAAAAAATCAATTTTTTTCATAAATATGAAAATGTCAAGTTTTTCCGAAAATATGGAAATGTCAAGTTTTTTCGAAAATACAAAATATAAAAATAAAAAAATTGAAAATAAATATTATGAAGAATATTTTTTTTTATATAAAATAATTTAAATTTTTATGAAGTTAAAAAATTTAGTTTTAAAAACATTTAAAATATATAAGTGGATTAAAATTGTAAATTGATTATAAACTAGTTTATAAATATAAATTAGTTTTAAACCAGTTTTTAATTAAATTGTAACCATTTTAGCAGTTAACTGAATTTTTATTGAAATAGTTATTGCAAACTGAAGCAAATTATAAATGTGATTCGGTTCAATACAGTTCATGAACTATGAACACCCTTATTATAGAGTTTTGAATAGTTTGTGTTTAAAATAATAGTCTATCAAGACTTTTCCCCTCAGTAAGTCAAGATAAAGTTCATAATGATCAGTTTTATCTTTTAAGGGCGCAATGATGACACTATTCAAGCATGGTGTGTCATGTTTACATCGCATCATCTTTAGATGTTAAGTGTTAATTGAAAATAAAATGCAAAAGTGATTTTACACTAGTGTGAAACATTTACACCTCATTGTAACTAAATTCTCAATCAAAGTTGGCAAACAAGTGATTATAAGGTTAGCAAATTGTTCTCCTGTCAAAGCAAAGTTAGGTGAGTGAAATTGCAGGTAAAAAAGGTAGTGTTAAGTTTTTCTCATATTTATTATGGTCAACGACTATCGTCAAGTGCATGAAAGAGTCAAAATTCAGTAAAGCTTGACAATTGAACAATTGAGGTCGTTTTTCATAGTTTTAGGCGCCACAATTCACAATTGACGAACCACCTGAAAACACAACTTAGATAATAAAACATGTGAGAAAAATGGCAACAGGTTGTGCCAAAAAGATACAAAGACAATCTGAGTGTAGGGTTTCATGAATCCTAAATTAAAAAAAATTATTACTACAAATAATACTTTATACGACAAAACACTCACCTTAACTAACAAAAAAATAAAGTGTAAATCATAGACGCATCATATTTTAATTTAAAAAATACCACTTAATCCCTCAATTGAGTTGGTAATCGAGGAAAAAAGTATTCAAGGGCCTTTGAATCCCAACATCTGCATTTTGATTAGCACCTTTTAATTTTTTTTTAAACTTTTTTATTATCTATTATCTCGATTGAACTAGCAACCGAGGGATAAAGTACTTAGATGACCACCTTTGAATCCCAGCAACTAATACATTTTAGCACCTTTTAATTTTGTAAAAATTATTTATGATCTATTACATCGGTTGAGCTGGAAATCAAAGGGTAAAGTAGCATATATTTTAGTTTATTTTTTTATTTTTTATTTATGACTAATTTGATGAAATTATTAAGTAAAAAAATTTTGTCGTCCATTTATAAAGTAACAATGGTCAATATGTTGTCAACTAATCAATCTAGATGAAATATTAGTGATTAGTGTGAAACTCTTACTAGCGAATCAGAACGTAAATGCAACAACTATCCATCTTGGATGTAAAGTGCTGAAATGTAAACATAACATAATAAAAAATGATAATGAAAGCAAATGCATGAAGTACAATACCATTCTCTGGAATGAATTGCAGAAGCAGAAAAATGTTTCAATGTTGGTTTCTTAATGTAATATCTTCTCTAGTAATTCCTTGTTAAAAATGTTTATGTTAGTTAGGAAAGTATGAAAGTAACTAATTAATGTTAGTTGTTGTTGAGTGTCAAATAAATGTTAGTTGTTATTTCAAATAAAATGTCTAATATTGTTGTTATTGTTGTTGTTGAGATTTAATGTATAAGAATTATATTGATTTTATTTATTTGTTGTTGTTGTTGAGATTTAATGTTTAATGATTTTATTGATGTTTTGTTGTTGTTAAGATTTAATGTTTAACCACTCTTTTGATTTTGTTGTTGTTGTTGTTGTTATTGTTGTTATTATTATTGTTTTTTTTTTATATTATTTGTTGTTGTTGTTTTTTTTATGAGACTTTATGCTTAAGGATTCCAATGTTTTGTTTTATTGTTGTTGTTGATGATGAGGAATATTTAGAATTTTTCAATAAATTTAATGTTTTGCAGATTAAAATGAAAAATATAGATTAGAATTAAAATTTTGTAAATAGAACCTTACCTTTCAAAGAATAATTCCAACTGAAACAAAAAATGTCGCGGTTTAAAAATTTAAATAAATATTATTGCACGAGATCAAACCTATGACAAGTTCCATTTTTTCCCTCGTAACACTTTATTTGAGAGGTAAAATAACAAGTTTTCTTCATATCATTCATTATCTTGCAAATAAAACTTTAATAAAATCTCATTCCAAATGAGATAAAAAGATTTTTTTTATAATAGTAAAGCACTTAAACATTATCCCTGTAAATAGCCAAACGATCGAGAGAATATTGTTAGGGCACAATTCCATGGTCAGTACGATAGTTTCATATCTAAATAATACCGTTTGTAAATCATTTAGGAACAATCAATAAAAAACAAACTATTTTACACGTTTTTATCTTACTTTCTTTTATTTTTATGCATTTGTAGTTTAGTAGTTAAACATCCTCACACCAAAATTAGTAGTTAAAAAATTCACAATAGAAAAAGGGTGTTGTTTCCTCAATACAATTGTTTAAAGGCGAGAAAATCACACCTAAAAATTATTAGTCGTTCTTTGAAGTAACTTTAAAAATATTTACCAATTTATATTAAGCTAATCAAGTGCTAGAAACTAAATCACCGATAATTGGATAGAGAATACTCATATATATTACTTTACTAATACATTTTTTTAATGATAGTGATTGAAATTTGAAGCTCTATGTTTATTCATCTAATAAAGTTAGTTGCAGGAACATGTAATTTGCATGTGTTCCAAATAATCAAGCTAAATTAAAGTATGTTAAACTCGGTGTTGCCTTAGTAGTGGAATGAGTGAACCCCTTAAATGAAGGGACATTACTTCATTGGTGGACCCCACCAGCTTTCCTCCGATGAACACTGCAGGGACAGGTGCATTACAACCCAACTTTTTTAAAGCTTTCTCCATTTCTTTCCCTTCAGGATCTTTGTCAATTTCATGAATAACAGGGAACACACCGATTTCTTGAAACAGAAAGTTAACTGCATAGCACAGACAACAAGAGCTCTTGGTGAAAATCACCACACCCTTTTCTGTAGCCAGCCTCGTCACCTTCTCCATCTTAATATATATAGCTGATTCTAAATAAAATGTACAAAACAATAATTTCTATGAAACTATATATTTATGTGAAACTTGAGGTTATTTAAAAGAGCATGTATGGTAAGGTATTTATAGGGAGGTACGAATTTAGCTAGGTGTATGAATTGTTTATTCTTTGAACAAATTAAAGCACATTCAAAAGAGGTATTGCTTTTTAGATGCCAATAACTTTGGAGATATAATTAAGATACTTCTATTCTACTTTAGACTGAATAAATAGAAAGAGATTATTTAGAAATGCAAATGCTGATATGCTTCAAATAGTAGACAGATTATGAAATTATAGGTGTATATTAACATATTAGGCTTAAACCTCCCTTTTTCCCATGTATCGGGTGCAATTTTAGTCTTTTCTTTTGTTTTAGATTGGACAAAGTTTTAAATAGTTAAGGCTCAATTCACCTATAATCCGTTCTATTTGATTTAAGGTATAAAATTATATCATATGAGAAAACAATGTACATTTTTTTTATCTTCACATTCATTTTGAATCTTGAACAGACTTGAACGGTGAAGTGCTAACTATGCAGGTCTATCCCGTGTCACCGTACCATAGATCAACACCACCAGTTCAAGAGGTTCAATCCGCCAACTACATTCATTTTGAATTTTTGAACGGAAAGAGTTGCGTCATAAGTAGGAATCGATTTTCCGATCCCTACGATTTCCACGATCTTAGATCTAATATCTGATTTACCTGTTCGTAACCTCCTTGGGTCACCGAAGAGTATTCAAAATCGAACGTGGAGAACTGTGACATTCAATCCGTTTGATTATCGTTACAACTACAATTCATTAGATCTTCATATCTCTAATTTCCCTTGGAAACTCCACGAAGTAGAAGAAGAAATGATGTTGAAGATATGCATTGAAAACACCATAAAGTAAAGGCAATTTCCTTAGAAACCATGTCGAAGATTTATGGTCTATCTTCCGATCTAAAACCGTTGTTATCTCTTTCCTCCAACATGATACTTACCGTGGCGACGTAGGAGATATGAGGAGTTCCTAGTTAATGACTGGCATGGGTATGATAGCACTGCGTTGTTTACCGTGAAAATTGGTAAAACAACCGCTGATCTTCCAAAAATTTGATTTACTTGTAGGATCCACCAGTGAATCCTAAGGACATAACTATTGTGTTAATGTATTTCTGGAACAAAGTGATGAACACTTCGGCAACATTCATTAGTGTAAAAGATTATTTTGATTGTTTGTTGAAAAGATTAAACTTTGCAAAAGTCTGTAAAAGAAGTGCAGTGAAGAAAACAACTTCAAAATAAAGAAATGTAGTAAAGAGCAATTGATAAAAGAAAATAAATTCTTATTGAATAAAGTATGGTGTTACAACGTACATTTCTCAACAGTAACTCTTTTCTCACGCTAACTTGGATACTTTGAATAAATTTTCAATACAGTACAACAATTGAACACACGAAATCCTAATAGTAAGACTCTTATTTATAATACATTGAAATAACTATCTCCAACGAGCATTTCTCCAAAAGTTGACACTTTTTGTCATGCATGCCTTCGTTTCGCCATAGTTCTCCACGTGTCTCTCATGAGAAAACGGATAAGAACAAAAGACAGTTATCTAATCTTATTTTGAAATTCAAACTTCTGTTGAAGCAAAGCTCCAAATCATCTCTTCGTCGAAGTAACCTTCTATTCTTAGAAAATATTTCTAAGTTTTTGTCCAAACACGTCTCCTCATGAAAACCACTTCGACAAAACTTCACCTTAACTTTTTTCGAAGTCCACCAAATTTAAAAAACTTTAATTTTCACTTAGTTTCTCAAATAAGAACATGGTGTCGAAATTCCCAGCCAACAAATTGCCCCCCAAAAATGTCATTTTTGACTAAGTGGCGAAAAGGACATTTTTTGAAGTTTTTCATATTCGACGCCAAAAAGCTTTGGACTGTTATAACGTCATTGTCATCATGACAGTTTTTTCCAAACGTATCCTCAAACCCATGCGTGAAATCTTTTCAATCATCACACGTCTAGTCCATAAAGGTCATGGATCAGACCTTTAACTACCATTGTCTCATCATATAACCCTTACATGACACGCGTCCCATGAATCTTCTCACCATTAATGTTGCACAATGATTGTGTACAGTAACTATTCCACTTCATTCCTCTACAAAATAGTGAAAAGCACCATTTTTCTCTTTTCATCTCTTTCAAATATTCTTCTCTGCAAAATTATTGCAACAATGGCTTCCACTTCAAAAATCTCCAAGGAAACAAGCAAGAATGCTAAAGACTCAAAAAAGCCCAAAGAACTCGCTCCAGTTCACAGAATGTTGGGTCCAAATGTGGTTGGAAATCAGCAGTACATTCCTAAACCTCCAAATGAAGAGGAAAATGCAGAATTTATCAATTACAGGTATTAATTCCCCTTCTTGTTTCTGGTAAGACCCATGTTATGTTAGGTCCTTTACCTGATCTCACTGCTAACCCTGCTAAGATGAGTTTTTCCCCGCTTATCACCGTTACAAACCCATAGTCCACGGTTTAAAATCTAGGATTGATAAGGAAATCCAAATTGATGAGAAAACGCATGTAGATGGTCAAGGTTCTCCTTTGACCATAGCTTCTAGGGACTCAATCAAATTAGAGTTTATGAACATTAGTTTTAGGGTTTTTAGGTCATGTCCTTTATCAAAAAAACCTTCTGATTACTTAGCTTGGTTAGAAAATATAGAGAAAGCGAAATCCCAAGTTTGGAAAAACATGGGCATCTTCGACCTAATTCAGTTGTCGAAGGTGGGGCCAAGTTATTATCCCTCTATGCTTATTGCTTCCCTCTATTTTTGGGACAACACCCACAATAATTTCCAACTTCACTGTGGGATGGTTACCCAAACTTGGTTCGACGTTGCTGCCATTACAGGCCTAAACTCTATTGGAGTGGATTATGATCCCACCCTTTTAGTTAATGACTCCATAGGTTTCGACGCCAAAAAAGCAACTTGCACCACCTACATAGCCAACTACCATGACAAAGAAACCAAAGAAGTCTTTGACCAAGAACACGTTGCCTTCCTAGCCCTTTGGCTTTCGCGCTGTGTTTTCTTCTCAAGGTCTCTTCAAGTGGCAAAGAGGTACCAGACTATAGCCAACTAACTGCATGATGGACATGACATCTGTCTCAGTGAAATAATTATGGCCAACCTATACGAATCCCTTGGCGAAGGCATCACAACATTTAAGACCATCAAGACAAAAGGAAGTTTGCTCTTTTCTGGACCCTTCTGGTTGCAGCAACTATGGTTGAATGCCACTTTTGAAGCATCTCTTCCTTCTCGAAATCCCATCAACGAAGCATCCGTCAAAGTGAAGAATAGAAGGGTTGAAGGGACGAGGATTTCCCTGTTGAATTGATCTTCAGTACACCTTCATCAACTACATGATGTTTGCCAAGCATTATAATTTTTCTCAAAACATGGCCCCTTTTGCCAATAGGAAAGTAGGCCCTGAATGGTTCACAAGGAAATTTCCTCCTGAGTCGAAGGAACAGGAAGCTGAATCTATTGACATTTGGGAATCTTTCCTTACACCAAGATTGTTGGCTTCAAGGCTCAACCCTTCAAAGCTTCAAATTTCTCTTGTCAGTTACCAACCAAATATCGTCTCTCGACAGTTTGGTCTTATTCAAATCAAACCCAAACCTCTTTTTCCCCAAAAGTGATCACTACTTCATTACAACATGTGGCATAATGAGGCGAAATGCGCTAAGTTGTTAGACAAGTTTTTTTACCTCACAGAGTTTAATCCTGTGGCCTTCAAACCATGCTTTCTCTGCACCAGAGAGTTCAACAATTGGTGGAGAGTATATTACACTGAAAATTCTTTTGATGTAGATGCCTTCAATCTCCACCTAACTAGAGTTTTTGCCCTTGTGCGGGACAAAGTGAAGAAAGGTACTACAACACACATCAAATAAATCCAAGCATTCCAGAAATACTTTGAAACTTTCTACAGGCTAGATGATCTTAGTCGAACCATTAGCGAAGAAGCAGTGACTTTAAAAGAAAATTTTACCAAGAAATTAGATGACTTAAAACTTCCTTCGTACGTTCGACCTAATCAACGTTATGAGTTAGCTTTTAATCTCTATCCTCCAAAATTCCCTTGACTTCCATCTGCTAATTTTGGTGTGACTTTTAGCCCTCCATTACCATATTGATTTGTCTGTGGGGATTTTATAAAAATTCTTCGACAAGAATCCCAAAAGCGTGCTAAGTGAGTGGTTCTGACTAAGTACACTCTAGACAATTTCAAAGGCCATATTCATTTTGGCATAGAACACGTACGCATGAAGTCTCCAGTATATGAAGGTATGGAGTGGGAGGTTCTTTGACACCATTTATTTATATCTATTTTATTTATTTAGGTTCTATACTTGGCCCATACTAACTGCATTACTTTTCTTTGCATCTGTAAAAATTCCAGCTAAGAAACCTACTCCTGTTGAAAAAGAAGTTGTCGAAGAAAAAGATGAAGACAACCCCAATAAAACCACAACCAAGGTAAAACTTTGTAATCATTACTTTGCTCTTTACATATTGTCTTCTTAGTCTAACATCTGAAATGTAATAATTTTGTAGGGAAGTCAGAGACTACCTCCGTCACCAAGAAAAAGAAAGCAGAAAGAACCTGAGGTTCATTTAATTGAATCTGATGATGGGGATCTTTCTCCTGATCACTCTAGACAAACTAGAAAAAAGAAGAAGAAAACAAAGATTACTGATGCCAGTTTTTGACCTCAGCCAAAAACACTCAAAGCACCTACGAAGAAACCTTATACTCCCAAGGTGGTAGAAACAGATGTCACCCTTGGCAGTAAGAAATCAACTGATGCAAAGAATCCAGATCAGGTAAAGAGCGATAACTCTAGTTCTAGGACTGAGAATCCTAAAGTATAAAGGTTTCTTCTTTTTTTTT